GTAGATTACTGTCGTGGGACATATTTGTTCCATAAAGTAGATTTATCAGCGGTTGTTTCAGCAGCTGCGACGACGCTTATGTGTGTACAGAATGCTAAGAAGCATTTTGTTGCGTTAGATGTCAGCTAGCAAATTTAAAGCTGTACCTTTAATTTACTGTCTTATGCTCATCTCACCATTTCATGCCTTTTTAAATTGAACTTGCTTGTATTGTTAAAGATGATAAATAGAGGTTTATATTGTATGTATTATAAGAAGTTGCGGTATGCTCTGTTTTTATCTAATTCGCTTTACGTGGTTTGCAGGACTTCAATACTGCCGGCTTTCATTGTCACTTATTTCTGTTATTACTGTGTAAACTTTGTCAGTCACTTTAACGATAAAAATAAATTCTTTATGGATTATGATTTGAGTATCCAATTTCATTCCACTGTAGTAGTAGTGATTGCTTATCTATGTCGTATTTCATACGGTCCACTGTGGTAATTCTTCACTGGAGAACAGGGGAAACGAAATGTGGAGTTTGTTTAATTGATTGTTGATTTTGCTCAGACTACAAATGAAGCATTTTTCGAATTTCCTTTCGATTCTTATGTTTTAGATGGTTGCCATGAGCACATACAATTTTACACCTGGCAGGAGGTTCCCTGCTTCACCTTCAGTGGGTTCACGGCGGTCTCTAAGGTCCTGTTCATCTACTCTTCCAACTGGTGCTTTTCTTTCGGTATGTAAAATGAGCAGGCAGTTTCAGTCTGTGCATGATGAGTTTCATATTCCTCCTCTTTCTGTAATTCTAACACAGTAAATCTTTTTTTTTTTTGTTGTTGTTGTTGTTATTATTATTATTATTATTGTTAGAATTGCATTTTTTGGCAGGAGGTGAATGAAGGAAAAAAGCCGAATGACCAGTCAAAAACGATAGCTGTACGGAAACGGGCAAAACCTTTCAGCTGTGGAGTTACCTCAAACCTCCTCAACGTTTTCACCTTCGCAGTTTCTATGCTTCTTCTTCTGTCAAGTTTTATTACGCTACAGAATGACTCCGATGTTGAAGTAAGTTTGCAACATAATCATTTTTTCACAAGACATTGACTGATTTAGTATTTCTCAGTATAAGTCCGCACTGCGAGAGGCGCAAGGTTGGCACAGATATTACGCAGAATGAGAATTGAAGCAAAGCTCTTCGTGACTACACTGAAGTTGAAACTTTATTGTAAAATTAATTACTGTCTGTTTACTTGTATGGAAAGTGATTGAGTGTTAATGAAGGAGACTGTACTCAGCTTAGCGTAAAAAGATAAAACCGAACTATCAGTCTCATTCTGCCAAGCAGCAGTAAGGATCTGTGTAATCTGAAGTGCAACTGTGTCGCTGACGGCATTCTAAATAAACTCTTTCTCATCGTACAGCTTGTACTATTCTAATTTCACATAGCGATCTTTAGAACCTTGCTTGCATTTCGCGACACTTTTTCGTCTGTACAGCAAATCGCCGTTGCCGTTTTGCATCTTTTCTTTTACCCTCGTCTAAAAGTTATATTTATGATTGGTCTTTTGACGACTAAGTCTCATCCTTTGTAACTTCATTGCGTGCTTGCATACTTTCTATTTGGCGGTTTGGATATGTGCTAATGTTCCAGTTTCTTGAAGCTTCCCTTGTTGATTGTGGTTTTTTGGTCAAGCGTTTGCTCCCAGCTCGTTCCCTCTGTGGTTGCCATCTTAGATGACGACAATGGCAGAGTTCATTTTTCAACACTTAAAACTTTTCAAATTTGTTTAGATACATAGTTAGAAAATGATGCAACTCACTTATAGAGTAAAGGACCCATTTGTCAGAGTGTTGGTTGCAAGTGTAAAATGATAGGTTTTTATACAAAAGTGTGCAGGCAGAATGTTTAGGAGCTTACTAAATGGAGAAAGGGAAAAACTGTTAAGCAGTGAAACTTCTAAAAGTTTGCCAAATATATTTAGCGCAGACTGGGTGCTGAGGAAAATCTTTTATCAGAAATGTTGAGGATTACGTCGTAAAAAAGCTGTAGAATAATTGTGAAGTTTTTTAAGGAGCAGAATTGATCATTTAATATTTTGTGCCAAAAAAAGTTAAGCGTGAATCCTCTCCAAGTGCTGTTTTATTATTTGGCTTTCTAATTAACTCTTGACTTCAAAGCGTTCGTGGAAGTTGTCAATTTTCGTTTCTCTGCCACCAGCATTTACTGGCAAAGCATTTTTGTATTCATTCCTTTGTGAACTGGTTGTGGTTCTTACTTTGGTGAGGTTAATTGAATTTTGGTCCAATGTTTTCCTTCAGCTACAGTGAACGTTTCTCAAAATCCTGGCAGATATTGTGGTTGAGGTTTCTTGCTGCGTTTCTGAAATGGCTTGGTCTAGGTGTTTAGAGAAACTCATGAGA